CATCAACTCTTGTATTCTTTGATTCACTTCCATTGTCACTTCTTACTTTCTTGATGGTTGTTTTAAACTCATTGTGAATTCTCTTGATGAATGTCTTGAAGGTGGCAAACACATCACTCTTATCAACAAGAAAGAACACCCAAGTATATCTAGTGAAATCATCCACAATCACAAATCCATATTTGTTTCCACCAATGCTAGTGTAAGTGATTGGTCCAAATAAATCTATGTGCAACAACTCAAATGCCTTAGATGTACTCATCATGCTCTTCTTATGATGTGTGTTGCCAACTTGATTTCCATCTTGACATGCACTACAAAGCTTATCCTTCTTAAATGTGACATCTTTCAAGCCTCTAACTAGATCATGCTTAATCAACTTATTCAATTGTTTCATTCCAATATGACCAAGCCAAACCCTTTGACCTTGCCTTTGCCATTGTTACCAAATGTGATACTATCAATCCCATTGCCATCATTTTCATTGATTGAATTGAACATTCTTGAATCACCGGTCATGTATTGTATGCACCCACTATCAAGCACCCAATGCCTTCCATCGGCTTTGTAATTGACCTATAAAAGAAGATCAATTCTTTTTAGATATCCAAACTTACTTAAGTCTTTGAATGTTAGTTACTAAGGTCTTTGGTCCCCAAATGGTTCTTTTCTTTGGGCCCACAATTGGTGTGCCAATGAACTTAGCCTTCACACCATTAGCACCCTTAATAAGTATGTAACAAGAATCAAATCTAATTGAAGATACATTAGGTTGCTTGTTCTTGTTCTTGTTAGTCTTGCAATATTGCTCTATATGCCCAACTTGCTTGCATCTATTGCAAAACTGAACATTGCCCTTCATAAATCTAGCTTTGGGAGTGACAAAGGCTTCCTTGCCTTTCTTGGGGGTATAGCCTAATCCCTTTTTGTTGAGAGAACCTTTGGCTACCCAAGCACTTTAGCAAGCGGGCATCTCCACCATAGACATTGCCTAAGGCACGAGTGAGCTCATTCACCTCCTTCTTGAGGGTCTCATTTTTCACCATTAGTGAGGCATCACAAGTGAAACCATCACTCAAAGGTGAAGTAGTGGTGGTGGTGCTACAAGAGGGGTTAGTGGGAGCAACAACAATTGGTTTATAAAAATATTCATCAAGAATATCACATGTTAGTCCCACATCACATGCACAATCATGTGTTCCTTCTTCACTTCTTCCTCCTTGACTTGCTTGAGGAGAGAGGAGTAAGCCTTTTCAAGCTTAGGGTGAGCTTTGCCAAGCATCTCATGGTCTTTCCTTAGACTCTCATGAGAGGCATTGAGCTCATCAAAGGATTGCTCAAGAGATTTGATCTTGCGCAATTCTTTGCACTCCTTTCTCTTCATCTCAAAGCAAGTGTGCACTTGCTCACACATGTCTATAAGCTCCTCCTTGGTGTACTCCTCCTCATCATCACTTTCATAATCATCATCACTCACATCATATTTTACCTTGGTAGGCTTTGCCATGAGGCATGTCGATGGAGTGTCGAAGATGTAAGGCTTGTTGTTGATGGCGATGCTTGCTAGTGCTTTCTTGATAGATTTCTTGCCATCATCACTAAAGCCATTACTATCCAAGGATCCAACACTATCCCAAATGACCACATAGCCTCCACCCTTCTTCTTCTTTTGGAAGGTCATCTTCTTCTCCTTCTTTACTTTCTTGTCCTTCTTGTGCTTCTTCTTCTCATCCTCATTATTGTCACTATTATAGGGACAATCCGCTACAACATGATTAGGGCTCTTGCAATTGTAGCATCTCCTCACATATTCTTTGCTCTTGTTGTTGTCTCTTCTCTTTCTTGCACCATAGCCCTTCTTCTTCATGAATCTTCCAAACTTGCACACAAAGAGACCCATGGCTTCATCATCAATGTCACTAGCGTCTTCATCATCACTTGATTCTTCTTTCTTGGACTTGCTCTTGTTCTTGGATGATGAGCTAGCCTTGAATGCCACACTCTTCTTCTTCTTGTCTTCATCTTCCTTCTTGTCATCCTTGTCAACCCCCTCTCTTTTCACACGGTATGTCTCTTGTGTCATGACATCACCTAGTACTTGGTTAGGGGTAAGTTGCTTCAATCCTCCTCTAATGATAACCAATCTCAATGTCTCAAATCTAGGAGTTAAGCACATCAAGAACCGATGAGAGACATCATCATCATTGATCTTCTCTCCTAAAGCCTTCAAGTTATTGATAATTACTTGCAATCTATGGAACATCTCCGGAATGCTCTCATCATCCTTTATCTTGAAGCCTGTCAACTTGCCCTTGAGGATGTATAGCTTCGCACTCTTCACTATCAGTGTGCCCTCATAGGTCTCCTCCAATCTCTTCCACACTTCACTAGATTTCTCACAATCCTTGATTTGCTCAAACACCTTGGAATCGATGGAATTGTAGATGGTGTTGAGAGCCAGTGTCTAGTGAACTAAGCCAGCCTCTGCCATGCCAAAGCCCACATAGCCCCGCCCTTGCTACCAAGTGTTTGGTTTTGGTGTTGATAAAACCCGTCACTACCTCAAGTGATCACGTCCAGCCCTCGGTGTCCAAGACCTGCATGCGGTCACCAGAGCACCAGCTCTGCACCACCGTGCCTCCACCTTGCCATCGCACTTGCGACCATGACCACCGACCCAAGTGAAAGCTCTAGTTTGGTTTTGGTGAATTGATAAAACCCTAAGTGCTAACCTAGTTTATCAAGTGATCATGAGATAGGTAGCACACTCCAAGTGATGAAGCAAATGAAGATCATAGCATGATGATGATGATACCATGATGATGATCAAGTGCTTGGACTTAGAAAGAAGAAAGAAAAACAAAAGTTCAAGGCAAAGGTATAAACCATAGGTCGGTTCTTGCGGTGTCTCTATCGTGTGGACGAGGTTTGTGAAACACCTCTTCAGCGATCCATCATCATTGTGAGAACCACCAAGTGTTGGTCGACACAACAGGGACGTAGCGTGTTGGCAAGCACGTGAACCTCGGGAGAAAATCGATTGTCTCTTGTCTTTGGCATTCTCCTTGTGATTGACTATATATTCATCTTGTGATTGGTTAGATTCCCACCTCGGGAGAAAATCGTCTCTTGTCTTTGGCATTCTCCCGTTGACTATATAATCACCCTACTACTCACTTATTTACATTCTTGCAAACTAGTTGATACAAGCTCTTTAGTGTAATTAGAATTGAGAGCTTGCTTTATTATTTACATTCATCTAGTTGAGCTCTTTAGAGTAGCAAGATTAAGAGCTCTTAGTGGGTAATTACATAGCAAGTTTGTGTGCCTAAGTAATCATTGCAACTAGAGTTGTTGGATAGGTGGCTTGCAACCCTTGTAGAGCTAGAGCAAATTTACATTACGCTATTTGTTATACTAATCAAATTGCTCTAGTTGATTTGTAGATTCTTAAATATGCTATTCACCCCCTTCTAGCCATATTAGGACCTTTCAGCAGACTGGTGAGGAATGTGCTAATTCTTGAGCGGTGTTCGCCTAGACCGCGGCCACGGTCGATGATGGTGATCCTAGAGGGTACAGGTGTACACACTCTACAGAGTTAAAACTATACGTATAGCCGTGATCTCGGTCATGATCACTCCTGTGAACTGTTTCACCTTGCTAGTCTTCTCTTGTGCTCTGCTTTTCTCCCTGGAAGCTAAGGTACGGCTTGAGGCTGATTAGACGAGGGGCGCGCGGAGACCGCCTCGTCGACTAGACTGAGAGATTGAGGGTGTTGTGAGGGATGATGAGTGATGACTGGTGATGATGATGAGTGGATGGTGAGAATGAGATTGTGGATTGGGTTTAGAGAAGATTATTTATGCTACTTCGCATGCGCTAAGGATGCAAACCACAACCAAACTATTAGGATCGTCAGATCCCTTTATTTTCTATTTTCCACTAAAGCTTATCGGTGCTGACCATGGCCTGCACACATCTAGCGGTGTTCAGATTTCTTGACTTGCAGTGATGTTGAGATTGGTAGTTGGTTTTGTTCTACCCTCAAGGATTCCTCTGAATGAGAGATCGCCAAGCTTCGCTTCCACGATAGAATAACAGTGATTTGTATGTTGTTAGTTGTATCCAAACTATTATAATATAACTATTTGTGCACTCTGATGTTGTATGACTCTATAATCAGCTGTAAATTGGATGCCCGTGATAGCCGAGATATCCTATAACTACCACAGAGGGGCAAAAAGGTCGAATTTCTATTTTAGAAATCCTAGTCTGTTACACATGGGGGCATAGCCTAGGCGTTGGGAGAAGGGGCGCGGCAAGCTAGGGGCCTGGGGCGCACGGCGCGCCTAGGGCCTGCGGACGGGGTGTGCTCGTCCTCATCTAGGCTCCTGGGTCCCGCCCCCGAGAGAGAGGAGGGAGTTTGGGGAAAGGAGTCGCGGGCGCAGCCAGAGTACGGCTGGGGCGAGGCGAACATGAGCAGGGTACGTGTGCAGCGGCAAGGCAGACACGGACGGGCGTGCGTGTGCAGCAGCGATACCACGCTGCACCAGATACGGGCGGACAGGCTAGGCAGCAGCATGCGCTGGAGTCCGTACGCGCTCATATGGTCAGAACGTCCGGTCGGTAGTAAGCCCTCTTTTTAATTCCTATTTTAGGTTTCCTGTGTTGCCAAGGTGTCTTCAACTGTAAAATGAGTTTGGAAGTACTGCTGCCAAATAAAATTACTGAGCCTCGCCCCTAAAGCAAGCAGACCGTTCCAATACGTGCAGTGTACTCCCGTTGATCTGTTCCAGCTTCCAAGTCACCTCTGCTCCGCTTCGACGCTCTTTCTAGAACAACCAAATACCAGCAGCAGAGCAGAGCTAGCATAGAGCAAACGCGTCACCGGCCACCAGATCTCTCCCGTACTCCCACCCCGCCTCCGATGAATCCACCCGCCGCCGCCTAGACGCGCCGCCCCAGTCCCCACCACCACCACTCCGCGCCACCGCCCAATGTCGTCGTCGGAGCCCGATGCTGAGGGCGCCCTCGGCGGCTCCTCCCCGTCCGCCCGCGTGCTCGCCCGCGCCCTCGACAAGATCATCAAGCACTCGTCCTGGCGCCGGCACGCCGCGCTCGTCGCCGCGTCCAAGTCCGCGCTCGACCTCCTCTCCTCCTCCCCGGCTCCTGACGACGGGCCCGACACCTCCTCGCCCTCCCCCGTCCCCGGCCTCCCAGCGCCCGCCGCCGACGCCGCCCTCGCCGCACTTATCCTCGCGCTTGACCCGGCGTCCCCGAAGGTGGCCGAGCCCGCGCTCGAGTGCGTCGCCGGCCTCCTCTCCCTCCGCCTTCTCCTCGGCGACGTCGACGCCGCCGACCCCTCCCCGGTCTCGAATCTCTTCGCCGCGGTGCTCTCCTGCGTCTCGCTCGGTGGCGGCGGGGACGAAGCGCTCGAGCTCGCCGTGCTGCGCGTTCTCGTCGCTTTCGCGCGGTGCCCGGGCGTCTCCGTCAGCGGGGAGTGCCTGGGCCAGGTGGTCAAGGCGTGCTACAACGTCTACCTCGGGAGCGCCAGCGGCGGCAACCAGCTCTGTGCCAAACTGGCCCTCGCACAGGTGCTGGTCATCGTGTTCACGCGCGTCGAGGCCGACGCCATGGACGTCCGCGTGCGCACTGTCTCCGCTGCCGACATGATGGACCTCTCTGACCGCAGCCTCAACGACTCCAGCGTCGTACAGGCGGCTCAGGTGTTCATAAACGAGGCCATGGAGGGAGCGACGTGCCGGAGGAGGCACCCCTGTAGATGCGGCCTCAGTTGAGGCGGAAGGCACTGGGGAGGATGGTGGAATAAGCAAGATTAGGGAGGATGGCCTGGCTTTGTTCAAGAACCTATGCAAGTTGTCAATGAAGTTTGGTACGCCTGATAGCCCCGAAGATCCAATGCTATTAAGGGGGAAGGTGTTGTCGCTGGAGCTGGTTAGGATGGTCATTGACAATGCAGGGCCATTCTGGAAGACGAATGAAAAGTATGTGCCATACCATGATGGTTCTGATTATCAATTTTATTGCAATGTTTCATTACGAGTCTCCTGGTTATGTTGCATTGAATCTTAATGTTTGTGGGTGATAAGATGTTGCATTTTAAGTCGTAATGGTTGTGGATGATAAGAGTAGAACCGTGGAAGCCAGGAACGGTAAAGTGGGATATGTGGAAGTGAAACATATGGTCTGTTTGGACAAGCTGTGATGCTCCAACTTTTGGGGCTTGGTTGAAATTTTAACTGAACCAATCTGAGAGCCTTTGCAAGGTCTACTATGTTTTCCACTTTCGCTGGTTGGGCACTGTTGTTTTTTTGTTCATGTTTATATCTGTTGCTGGGGCAAGGAAGCAATGACGATTTTATCATATAAGTATATAACTAAAATGAGAGCTGCAAGAGAGTACTGATGGATATTTAACAAGCTAGTTTTTTTTTCCAACTGTGTGCATACCCCATGTCCCCATGCATGCTGACATTACATGCATGGATGGTACACAGACCCTCAGACCTGCAGATCCGAACCGATACTGGTGGTGGTAATAAGAGAGAATGCTAATGAAAACCATTATGGTGTGATTGGTACTCTAAATTGTAATCTGTGTTTTTTTTAAAAAAAATATGATAAAGCTTAGTCATGTGGGGATGTATCCAACAAGCAGCAACACCACAAATAATTCGTACTGGAAGTTGTTTTGCTCATTTGATGTAGGACTGCTGAATTGATTATAAGCCCAACAGACAATGCAGATGACTGATCCTGTATTTTTTATCTCCTATTAATGCAGGTATCTTGAAGCAGTTAAGCAGTACCTTTGTTTATCCTTGTTGAAGAATAGTGCCTTGTCTGCAATGAGTGTCTTCCAGTTATTGTGTTCCATCTTTATGAGTCTAATATCAAGGTTTAGATCTGGTTTGAAAGAGGAAATTGGAATGTTTTTTCCTATGCTTATCTTAAGAGTTCTTGAAAATGTTCTCCAGCCTAGCTTTTTGCAGAAGATGACAGTTCTAAACTTTTTGGAGAAGATATCTAAAGAACCTCAGGTTGTTATTGATATCTTTGTGAACTTTGATTGTGATGTTGATGCACCAAATATTTTTGAAAGGTACGCTATTATTATTTTTGGATGGGCATTCTCCTTCAGTTTCATTTTTTGTGATCGGTCTTACTTGAGCACAATTATTCTCTTCTAGTTCTGCTGTACCAAAGATATGCCTCTCTTTATAAGTCTACAGTGAAGCAGTTTTAATTCTATCGGTCTTCACAGGATTATCAATGGACTTCTAAAGACTGCTTTAGGTGTCCCTACTGGATCTACAACAACATTAACTGTTGCACAAGACCAAACATTTAGGATTGAGTCTGTCAAGTGCCTTGCTACTGTTGTTAAGTCGATGGGTGCATGGATGGACCAACAACTGAGAATTGGTGAATTTTCACCAGGCAGTTCTGAAACTCTAAGTTCAGCTGAGAACCATAATATTCATAATGGAGAAGAAGGGAGCGGAATAGATTATGAACTGCAGCTTGACACTGGTAGTTCTGACATAACTGACTCTTCCTCACTTGAGCAACGGCGTGCTTACAAGATAGAGCTTCAGGTGTGGTTGCTTGAACTATGGTTTCTCCACAATTAGACTTCTTCTATCTTTGGGATAACTATAAGATCTTTTTTTTTTGTTTGCAGAAAGGAATTACCTTGTTCAACAAAAAACCTTCCAAAGGTATTGATTTTCTCATTCGGAGCAAGAAAATAGGCAATTCTCCAGAAGATGTGGCTTCTTTCTTGAGAAATACTGCTGGATTAAATGCAACAATGATAGGCGACTATTTGGGTGAGAGGGATGACTTTCCCCTCAAAGTAATGCATGCTTATGTGGACGCTTTAAACTTCGAAGGCATGGACTTTGGTCAAGCAATTAGGTTCTTCTTGCAAGGTTTCAGGTTACCAGGAGAAGCTCAAAAAATTGACCGGATCATGGAAAAGTTTGCTCAATGCTACTGTAAATGCAATCCAAATGCTTTTACTAGTGCAGATACAGCATATGTTCTTGCTTATTCTGTGATCTTGCTAAACACTGATGCTCATAATCCGACGGTGAAGAACAAGGTATGCTAATTATGATTTTATTATCATATGGGAATGTCAATAAAGCAATGTAGATTTTTTTACTAACAGGTAATGTAATTTTTTTGTGCAGATGTCTAAGGCAGATTTTATGCGCAACAATCGAGGAATAGATGATGGGAAGGATTTGCCAGAAGATTATTTGAGTACACTGTATGACCAGATTGTCAACAATGAAATCAAAATGACTGTTGATTCTTCAGTTGCACAAACCAAGCAATCCAATAGTGTAGGCAGGCTTCTAGGCTTGGACAATATTATCAACTTTGTCAATTGGAGATCAGCAGAAGACAAGGCAGTAGGAGCAAATGACTTGCTCATTAAGCACATACAGGAAAAATTCAAAGCAAAACGTGGGAAATCAGAGTAAGATCTCCATCATTCTATCAGAAAGTACTTATGGTCTCGGCGACATTTTTATTAATTTGAGCTTGTATGTAATACAGGTCCACGTTTTATGTTGTTGCTGATGCAACCATTTTAAGATTCATGATGGAGTCCTGTTGGGCACCTATGATGGCTGCATTCAGTGTGCTCCTTGATCAGTGTGATGATAAGGCTGCTACATCACAGTGTTTGAAGGGATTAAGATTTTCTGTGCACATCACTTCTGTTATGTGCATGCAGACACAGAGGGATGCTTTCTTAACATCCATAGCCAAATTCACATCTCTCCATTCTGCTGCAGACATGAAGCAAAAAAATATTGATTCTATGAAGGTAAGAGGCCACACAAAACATATTTTGTTTATCGAGTTTTGATAATTTGTTGCTGGGTGATCTATTTTTTAAGCAAGGTACCTAAAGGCTTACTTTCCCCCATAATACCTTGTTGCAAAACACAATGACAGTTACCATCTGACATGGTGGGACTCACAACGGTCTGGAAAATGATATTCTTGATTTTCTGATGCTTTCTCCAGCATGTATTAAATGTTCATTTTGTTTCGCTGAGGATCTATCCAACATTTATGATACAGCATGGTTGAGCCACTTAAATACTTCTTTATGCTGTACTTTATTAGCACATTTGTTCACACAGACGAATGTTTCAAAGCTGTGGGATATTGGGGGTGATAAATTTACTTTATGTCCTTGAACAGGCTATAATATCTATCGCAATCGAAGATGGCAATTACTTGCAGGAAGCTTGGGAACATGTATTAACTTGTTTATCACGGTTTGAGCATTTACATCTGCTTGGAGAAGGGGTTCCCACTGATGCATCCTTTCTGACAGTACCTCTGATTGAGTCAGAAGAAAAAACTAAGAAGTCTACTTCTGTCCTATCTTCTAAGAAGACTAATGCTCTTCAGAATCCCGCTGTGATGGCTGCCGTTAGAGGGGGTACTTATGATAGCACAGTGGCAAAAGGCAGTGCGTCAGCACTGGTCACTCCTGAACAGATCAATAATTTCCTATCAAGCATTAATTTATTGGATCAGATTGGCATTGTTGAGTTAAACCATATCTTTGCCCATAGCCAAAGATTAAACAGTGATGCTATTGTTGCTTTTGTGAAAGCTCTTTGCAAGGTCTCAATGACTGAGCTGCAGTCTCCAACAGATCCTCGTATATTCTGCCTTACTAAAATAGTAGAGATTGCGTAAGAAAATTCCTAAAGTTTAATTAAAAAATCTGGTATTTACTAATGGCAACACAGCCACAACTTGATGTTTTTTTTTACTATTCTCATTTCTAACTTCGTTTGTGCAGGCATTACAATATGAATCGCATACGTCTGGTGTGGTCACGTATTTGGAAAGTCTTGTCAGACTTTTTTTGTTTCTGTTGGGTTGTTGGAAAATCTTTCTGTCGCTATATTTGTGATGGACTCTCTGAGGCAGCTTGCTATGAAGTTTCTAGAAAGGGAGGAACTGGCAAACTATAACTTTCAAAATGAGTTCCTTAGACCTTTTGTGATTGTTATGCAGAGGAGCAATGCTCCAGAAGTACGAGAGCTGATTGTTAGGTGCGTCTCACAGATGGTTCTGAGTCGGGTTAATAACATAAAGTCTGGGTGGAAGGGTGTTTTTATGGTATGTATGATTTCTATATTTAGTTTGTTGAGGTTTTTGTTCAATCTTACCTGTGAGGTAGTGACTGTTGCGTCCTGCCCTGTAACTTTTCATCAACTTGCAGGTTTTTACTTCTGCCGCAGCTGATGATACAAGAAGTACCGTCCTATTGGCATTTGAGACGGTGGAAAAAATTGTTCGAGATTATTTTCATCACATAACTGAAACAGAGACAACAACATTTACTGATTGTGTTACTTGTCTTATTGCATTTACAAGTAGTCAGTTTAACAGCGATGCCAATCTCAATGCTATTGCATTTCTGCGATTCTGTGCTGTTAAACTTGCTGAGGAAGGATTTGCTTGTCAAGATAGGGCTTTTGAACAACCCAGAAATTCAGCCATGGTGTGTGGTGGAAATGCCACTGTGCAAAAAGATGGTCATATTTCCCTCTGGGTGCCTCTCCTTGCAGGTATGGCATTTTCCTCCCTTCAAAATATTATATTTAGTTTACTTCATGCAAATTGTTGGATGATAATCTGAAGCAATGACCATTTTTTATCAATGTTTTTTTGTGCATTTCAGGTTTAGCTAAATTGACAACTGATCCAAGACTGACTATCAAGAAAGGTGCTGTAGGAGTACTTTTGACATTTTAAAGGATCATGGAAACCTGTTTTCACTGACTTTTGGACCGATATCTTTGAACATGTTGTTTATCCTCTATTTAGCAATGAAAGATCCACACCCAGTGACCAGATTTCATCATCAAATTCGCATGAGTATAATTTACCTGATCTTGAAACACAAACGTTGGCAGTGAAATGCTTGGTGGGTTTGTTTGTTAATTTCTTCGATGTGATACGGCCAGAACTTGGTAGAACAGCATCCATTGTTACATTTTTTATCAGAAGCCCCTACAAACATTGTGCTACTATTGGTGTATCTGCAATTATGCGTTTAGCAGAGGGGGTTGGTAACAAACTTTCCAAGGAGGAATGGAAAGAGATATTGATCTTATTTAGAGAATCAGTGACGCACACCTTCATCATGTTCTCTAAAATTGTAAGGATGATGCAAGATATTGATATCCCAGATAGAATTGATTCTTATTCAGAAACCGAGCAATATTTGGATCACGAGATGTATGGTAATGATGAAGAGGAAGCGAATATGGAGACAACTTCTTATGCTATTGTCAAACTGAAGAATCATATGGCCCTACTGCTCATGGTGATACAGGTATCTTTTTTTTTGACCGAATTTATTAAATTGCTCTTATTGGTAGGCCAGATGCAAGATTCAAGTAGGGTTAGCTATTTGGATTTTAGTTCAGTGCCTAAAAATTCTAAATACAATAGCTCAGGTTTGGTTCTCCACTAGAATAAACTTTTCGGAGAGCAGAGTGGAATAATGGAATGATGACATCGGGAGAGGGATGGTGTTAAAGTTGCTTAACTGTGGTACCATTATGTCCCTGGACTGCTAACTATTAGGCTTACTCGGGTGCTGCAGCTTTGGCTAAAATCTACCTGTGTACGCTGGCAAATAATGAGCAAGGATGTGGAGTAAGAGAGGCTTCTTATTTCTTGCTTACCCCAATAATGACTCGAACCCGGAACCTTCCGGTCACAGGCGGTAAGACTCTACCGCTTGCACCAGGCCAATAAGAACAAAAATTTAGGCATAAACTAGCATGGCAATAGAATGACTTAATTCAAACTATCCTGTTTTAACTGTGCCTTTATAGGATTGTAAGGGCCTTTCTACACCCAAAACGCTTGCCAATGAGATGAGGGGCTTCCAACTTTCAAGTTGGGTGCACTGCCCTCCAGTCAATGTGGGACTGTGCTAAGTTCTAACAACCTTCCTCAGTTTCCCCCTATGTGACAGTTTACCTCTATTAAGATGGCACTATATATGCCTTACATTGGTTTTTTATTACACTGAAAAACCTCTTAACTGATGACAAGTAATCTAGAAATGATCGGTCTTTCCTTTTGAATTTTCTGACAATCACATTAACATGGCAGTATTTTGTATTCTTTTATGCAGAACATTATTAAATTATATGAGGAGCATAGCAAATATCTTCATGCCGAGCATATTAGTATTCTTTTGGAAATGATGTCAGCTATTGCGACACATTCAAGTGAAGTGAGCTCTGAATCATCCTTGCAGATGAAATTTCATAAAGCATGTTCCCTTTTGGAGGTATCTGAGCCAGCAATTGTTCATTTTGAGAACGAATCCTACCAGAGTTACCTCAAACTTCTTCAAGCTCTGCAACATGACTATCCATCCTTGTCAGAAGAAATGAACATAGAGTCTCAAGTGCTTGATACCTGTGAGCAAATATTGCGAACATATCTGAAGTGCACTGGACACAAACCATATGATGAAACATCTCAAAGAAATCCATCTTTACATTGTGCAGTGCCGCTGAGCGCTGCTAAGAAAGAGGAATTGGCTGCTAGGACTCCTCTGGTCCTTCAAGTGATGAAATTGCTGGGTAATCTGGAGAGGGATTCTTTTAGCAGAATATTACCCTGCTTTTTCCCATTGTTGGTTGATCTGATCCGCTGTGAACATAGCTCTGGAGAAGTTCAACACGCACTGTACAATATCTTCCAATCAGCCATTCTCCCCATGATACGAGTTGAATAGCAGATTGTGACCCACAAATTGTACAGTTTTGTGACCCCCACTTAGGTGATGTAATTCAGTTCATTATGGCATCACCCCACGATTGAGGGGGTATACCTATAGGTTGGCACCTCAGCCCTAACTGATTATACCTTTGCAATATCAAATACAAGGTGAAATATATCGGTAGTTCTAGGTGTTGTCTTACTGTGCTGTAACATCTGAATCCCAACTGAGCCGGTTGTATTGTCTCACAGGTTGACGTAAAAATGCTGCAGGATCTGCCATTCAGCGGAAGTTCTATGGTGGATCTTTGTTAATATTCATTTACCTTTAATCAATGATGTTCATCATATATGCTGGAGACAGGCAGAAAGACACGGGTATGGAATCATATAAGCCTATGCACCCAGGCAATTTTCCATGATCCAAAAGTCAGGTGACCTCGGCTTCCCAGAGCCCCATGTTACCATTGTCCATTGCCATCCCCACGATGGAGTTTTGAAGTCACCACTGGCTTTGCTACAACGATTCTTTTTTCGTTTTATAAAACAATAAACTAGAGGTAGATGCCGCCCAAATACGATTTCTCAATTTTGCTCATTTTTGAGTTATGTATGTAGTATTTCTTATCCATGGAAACAGACTAATAGTATGTCGAATATGGCCCAGTGTTTTCACCTTTCCGTTGCAGCTTGCAACAAATCACAATCTTTTCCGTTGCAGCTTGCAACAAATCACAATCTTTCCCAAGATTAGGCTCTCGTTATTTGGTTACAGTTGACATATGTGATATATAGTTTACAGTTTCAGGATAATAATGTACATGACTCACTGACGATGCAATGACACTGAAATACCTATGCCCTAATGAGACATGGAAACATGCACTGAAGGTACTGAAAAGGTGCGAAGAAGAGAATTAATATACACAACCAGATGTTCTGAAAGAATGGACCTGTTCTACGATTTGGACCTACTGCATGACCTATATTATACACAGGTTGGAGGCCAGACTCCATTTCCGGCATCCACTTTGGTCCATGCACAGACCACCAGCTATCAGAATTTCTGGCAGGAGATGGGGAATGTACAGACACTGACAGAAGCTGAGCAAGAGGGTCTTCATCTTCAGACACTCGAGCTTTCCTGCCCCACCCAGCGGAGCAGATCAGACACTCACATTATAAGAAGTTCAGGTAACCATGGATAAGGACAACCTGCGATATGATAAGAAACAGTACATTGATCAGCCTAGATGCAGCATAGACTGATGCCCTTTAATAAATGGCCCCGCTGCAAATATTAGATAAATGTGATAACTAACCTTTAGAGTGCAAAAGAAAACAATTTGCAAGAAAAAAAAGCATGCCGCCCAATTTAGCGGCATGACTTTTCTTAGTCCTGCTGCAGACTATAGGATGCCTACAGAGAAGAAAACAAGATGTTACAACAGATTAACGGCAGGAGTATTTCAGAGGTAAACAGTAAACACACCTAAAATTCGTCACTTCCTGGCATCCTTGTCAACCTGTCGCTTGTTCAGAAATGTTGTTGTGTGGGAATGGCGGTGCACGAGCAGGGACCAAAAGCTGTTGAGGTCGTGGAGCTCCTGTTTTCACAAAAGCACTTTATGAGTTATATGAAGAGCGTGATAAGCTGTGGTTCCGTAAGCAATTGAAAAATATTCTTGGACAAGTTAATTTGATTCGACTCAACAGCGAATTTCTTACCTGGAGGAAATGGTTGCTGAACTGGTGGTATGCGCACAACATTTGCAGCATTAACATTCTGATTCGATAGTGGGAGAACATGACTTGGGGCATAACCAGGAGAATAAGCATGATCACTTGGTACAGGTTGGCCAAACTGCCCATATGGGTAGACTGCTGGGCCTACTGTCCTTGGGCCACCGTAAACTGGAACATACTGTTGTCCAACATATGGACCGTATGCATTCTACAAAGCTAAAAATAAAACAAATGAGCAACAATTTAAATTTATTTCATCTTAGTCAAGAAAAGGATGTGGTTTAATGTTTCTGGAGTTCTCAACCTGCTGATATAGGTATTCAGGTCCATATGCTGATGGCCTGCGTTGAAAAAAAAATGGTCATTACTTAAACAGATAGTCTGTTCAATTGGAATTAAAAAGCTACTCCTGTAAGGGAATACTATATGTACATTGCATCCTGCTAATCATAGAGTTCCAGACTAGCAACAACTACAACTTTAATCATATTGCCAGACATTCACAACCAAACAGGAGATCAAATCCATAGCTGTGCATGATCTTTGCCAACAAGCAATGAATGAGCTGTTAACCTACCCATAAGAAGGATATACAAAGGCCTGTGAGTAGTTGTAAGGGGATTGCTGATATGTTGGGCTTTGCACATACATGCCCCCTGGAACTGCCACACCTCCATTGTATGGGATGACCGGCCTTATAGGTGCTCCTATACCACATTGAAAAGAAGGGGAAATTTTGTCACAATAATTGAAACACACACAGGCTAAAAAGGTGAACATGCGTGCATTACATTAAGCCATAAGAAAGTTTCTTTGCAATAGGTTTTTGCAACTGAGACTAGCATACAGTATTAGTGAACCTCGTCGGCTAATACACATGTAATTCACTTTGGACTTTTACTGGTGGGTCCTGGTCAGCACTTTTCTGATAGACAAGGCACAAGCATTTTTTTATAGCAAACTTAAGAAAACTTTGCTATTTTACTCTATCGCATAAGAAAACATTCAAGAAGGCTCACGAATAAACAGTAAACATCTCAAAAAGCTTTGCATTCCATCACGAGCAAAGATGTGGATCAATGCTTCATCTTGTGATGATTAATATCTCCAATTCCAAGTTGCAGACCATGAAACAGATGCCTGACATGTAAGTGGACAATTTTTATTGAAAAGCGGTGATGATTGCCCACCCTTTCTACCACCCACCAGCTCATACTCTTTCCGTTATCTATTATTACTCTCTTCAATCAAGTCCAACACTACTATCTCTCCCCAAACATAGTTGGCAGAGATGACTAGTAGCTGTGTTGGTTTGTATATTTTTGACAGCTAATGCTTTATTTTCCTAAATGAGCTCGTAGAAGATCCTACAGTCTTCTTTGGGGCTAGAATGTTCAGGCAACGAATTAAATACCTACTAGTCCTGTACTGACAAGTCCTTTTCCCTCTGTTAGAACTAGTGACAAGACTATTAGTTGGTGTTGAAAAGAAGGGGTGGTGAAACTAAGCATCAAGTTTTGTAATAATGAAATCATAGAAATGCCATGGTTGTGGTGACTCCAAATCTCCAATACATTGGGAATAGAGCATTGATTAATAAATTACTTTACACCAAGAGCGTAAGCGGATGGAAAGAATCATAGTATATTTGATAGCTGTGCAATTAGGAAAGCAGGGAACCAAGTTAGCAGACCTACCGAAAGGCACAGCTGGACCAGGCCGCCCTAAGATGGCAAGGTTGCAATTAGCGCGCCTGCCGTCGATCACTGGGTATGGGTCCATGCAGGCCATCCTCGTTGACTCTGCCTCCCGGAAGGTTACCTATACACACATCCACACATGATTAAAGTGAATCAAAAGTAGGAAAAAGACGAAATATCTGAGCCAAATTTGGAACCACCCCAAAGGCCAAAGGTGCTCTGTTTTCACCATACCCCCATGGAAAATTCAGATAGTTCCCTGATTCGTACAAGAAAGAATGCTAATTTTCTTTTCAAATTCCGACGCCCAAAATTGAACTAGGTTCCTGAAAAGCCTGAACACAGAAACCCTAGAAATGCTTAACACGGCAACTTTCACTAGCTCCTGGTAACAAAATTTAACTATTTCCCTCAATCCTGTTGGTAATAAGTCAACAATCCGCCAAAATTCCTGCATATGGAATGCAAAACTCCCAAATTCTGAGACCTTCTTCACTGCCAATTGCCACCGCCCGCAACAGCATCTACAGATGATCACAGAACCTCCCAATTCAACACACAAAGTTCACCTTTGCACACAGAATCACAACATTCAGCTCCAGAATCGAACACAACCTTAAGCTCCAGAATCGAACCTGGCCCCTGATCCCCAACCAAGGAAAAAAGAAGTACAGAGCAAACACCCCAAGCAGCATAGCACATACGAACAAGAAAAGAAAAAAAAAGGAAACAGGAGGAAGGCGTGCTCACGAATCCGTAGCCCTTGGAGCGGCCCGTGGCGCGGTCGGTGATGACAACGGCCTCGAGGATGTCCCCGTAGACCTCGAAGTGGGCGCGAAGCCCCTCGCTCCGCGTCTCCCAGGCGAGGCCGCCGACGAAAACCTTGGTGAAGGTGGTGTCTCCGTATGGGCCGCTCAGGTAGTGTAGCGCCGGCGGGCCCCCGCCGCCTCCTCCTCCGGTCCCCGCCGGCGACCGCTGCGGCGTCATCCCTGCCGCGGCCAGCCCACGCGCGTGCGCGCAGCCGCAAACCCTAACCCTAGCAAGCAGCAGCTGGGTAAACGCGACAACACGCGCAACAAGTGAGGAGGCGGGCGAGCAGCGGAGGCGGCCGGGTAGCTAAGCTAGGGCTGATAGGCCCGCGCGCGCAGGCGGGGGCGTAATTATAGAGGTGGGGATGGCGCTAATCGGAGCAGCGGTTATTATTATTAGCGGTTGGATTACGCGGGAGCAGGGCGGGGAAGGGGAGGAGGGAGCCGGGAGTTGGTTGGTAAGGACTTGCTTGCAACTGCCAAGCAACGAGCGCGCCAGAGACTACTAGTAGAGGCCTGAGGGGGAAACGGCCGGACGGACGGGAGGGAAGGGGGGAGTGGGGAGAGCTGGAGGCCCCCGTGGCCTGTGGGAAATGGGTAAGTGGAGGCGGCAACACTGGAAGTGGGCCCGTCTCATTGCACCGGCAACATGGGCAATGTTCGGGTGGAGGCCCGCTAACCATTTCTACTGGATGATATCTTATCCAATCTCTTATATATATATATATATATATATATATATATCTAAAAAGTAGCATTTT